CATAAAAATTTCAAAAAAGAAAAACTCAAACACAGCAAAAGTAATCAAAACGAAATTCCACCAGTGACATGACTATGAAAAATCTTTTTTTTTTGTACTTATTAAGGATCATTGACGAAATTAGTTATTACTTATCAGTCTATTTCTTCATGTTATAAAAAAGACCAAGTATGTTCTCGCTTCTGTTTATGCATACACAAAACGCAGATAATGAAATCCTTCCCTATTCTTTGTTCTCTACATATGACCAAGTTTAGACAACCAACATTGCACGTTCGTACTGCCAATAAAAAATCCTTAACCCTTAACATCATCAATATTAATGATTCGTTTATCATGAACAATGACAAACCGTTACGTCTACACTCGAGATATGCGATCTCCGATTGAATGAATAAAAAATTGTGAAAAATTATATCAATCACCGGCCGGTGGAACAAAATTTTGTATTCTAACGTAACCTCGGTGTTTTGATCATTTTTAATTTTACCAAAATTTAATTGCCAACGCGAAGTAAACAAAATTACTGTTTCAAACTAAATTTCGTGGCTTGTAATCATTTATGAAGGCTCTGTGCACCTTAACTAATTTATGCAGTATTAAACCACAAATGTATCTATTTCACGCAAAGCCATCGACATCGCGACAATGTTGCAACGACACACTTACTAGGTTGCCACGCTATATTAATATGTTATTTTCAAGTTCTCCGCTATTCACACTTTATTCGCCTTTCGTGATGTCGTGAGGCATCACGCCGTTGTATCGAGGATGCTAAATTGTGTCTTTACCTGTCTTTTATCTTTTCTTACCATGGATATAAATTAATCGATCATATAAAGAGAGCATCCTTATTTGTACTTCATGGTAGACACACTTTTGTACCAGAACTTTGTGAAGCAGATATGACGTTCTAAGTACCACCCTAGATTTTGTTTTATCTCCTATATTTAACTTTTTTATATAGAAAAGTGATGTATCAGCGAAAATACTGCCCGTTCTGTAATTCAATATATACACAGGTCTTTCCTCTGCCCCATTAATTCAAAATGCGCACGTACGAAACTTAAAGTTGTGACAATCAAGTTTGATAGTTTTAAGCTACACCACTTTAAAAAAAAAACTTGTTCCCATATTTATTTAGGCATACTATGGGTATGCGTGGAGGTGGTAGAAATGTATACGTTCAGAAGAATGCGCGCGGGCAAACGAAATACAAACATATCTGCATTGGGCCACTGGGCAATAAATCTCAGCTGTTGACAAGTGGTTGAGAAATTGCCCAGCAGTGCAGTGCAGCAATGCGGAATTTGGTGTGATTCAGGTAATTTTAATTTATTATAGGCACCGTCTATTAATCATTGATATTACAATTGACAAAGGGAGAAATAATATTATTACAACATGGCATTTTGAAACGGAACAAAACGAAATTTATGATCAATATAATAAAGTTGTTTGAGGTAATAAATAATTGAAATATGTTCTTGGCCAAACGAACATATAATAGACACATTATATACAAATTATTATAACTTTTTTAGGAGCACCTATGAAAGTCATTAAATTTTATTGCTAGTGGTTTTTTATATGTTCAACTGACTTCGGAAGAACTATACTAACCTAACGCTTATGATAATAAAAAAAGCAGTTCGTTTTTCTTGCTATGCGAACATCAAAGCTATCCCAATAATTATACTCATCGCTGTGAAATAATAATTTTCAAAGCTTGAGATAGCGAAGAACTTTTTTAATACAATCTGGCAGCAATATCACTGCGGCATTTTCCAAACCAAATTGAAACATGTGAAGCAAAGGCACGCTTTTGTCACCAGTCTGTAGCCGTAAGCCCGCTCGAGTCGCGCAATGTGCCTTTCCTGCCCGATACAGCCCACGCACTCTAAGGCTATCTCATTCTGGCTCTATGTTCATTATACGTTGTCTTTGTGTGAGGAAGTCTGAAAGAGAGGGAGAATACTTAACACACAAGACAACTTCCTGCATGATGAGTTCATTCCGTAATTTATACCCAAGTTGTTGCACAATGTACGGCTCACGGCAATGAACCGTTTAATGTGATTTTTTTCTGTTAATTAATCTAACATTTCATATATTCCATTTATAATTTATGTATACCTTCATGGAACACTATTTTTTAAAATTAACTGTTGTTGTCGGGAGGTATTTATTTGTAGCCATACTTAATTAACTAGTCTTGCGCCAAAAGCATTGGTCGAGGGTTATTCTTATGAAACTGTCCGTGCCTACTGGAAAATCGCATAATGAAAAAAGCAGGCAAAGAATACACATCGTATCACTTCAGTTAATTAGTAATTTGCAAATCAATCAGTTTTCATTTTCAAAACTACGAATGACGTTCCATAATTGAAATAAGTTTAGCAGATCAATTTATAGCACAGCTCCACACAAAAAAAGTATTGTGCAAATGACCAGAATACATTATTCCCACGTATTTCGAGCCGCTGAATTCGAATCCGATGTCAGAATTGTCTCGGCAAATCACCAGAATTGAGTGTAGCACTGAATTCATGGAAATAATATATTTTTCCATTATTTGTAGCCTTATCATTCTAAAATTCGAGAATATTAGCGATATTAAACTATTTTTCAGTTTAGAAAATTCTGGTGAATTGCTGGAGTCAATTCTGACGTAAGATTCGGATTCAGCGGGTCAAAATACACGGGACTACATCGATTAGCCCACAATTTCTAGTGGGCTAATTTAAATCATATCTGGAGCATAGAAGCCAATTTATTAATTTTGTGGATTTTTAAGATTAGGAAGGATTTGTGACATTGTGACCTTATGGGTCAAGATACATAGGAATAATGTACAGGACACAGTTTTTGAAAGCACGTTGCTTGGCTATTGTCTAAAAACACCGTGGTTGAGAAGATTAAAATGATGATGGACTTATCAATGCTCGAGGGTTTTTCGGTCAGATTTGTTTTGACAATCCTCAAATGCATTTATTTTTTTTCGCGACTGTATATTGGTGAATATCTAACTTGTAGTTACTATTTCTATCTCTTCTGATCTTAGTTGTCATATGGTAAATTAAATCTCTTCACTCACTTATACTACACATGCTACATACGACTTCACCCGCAAAAGCGGTTTATTGGAGTTAATTTTTTTCTAAAACGTGACTTACCAAAAATTAAATAAGCAAGTAACTTTTTGTGTTTTATTTTTTAAGAGGGGAGGTAGTGGGACAGTAAATGAACTAATATTACGTTATTTTTACGATTGATAATAAGAACAAGTTTATTGCGGGGGTACTGGGAGATGCCAGCGCTAAGAACGTCAGAATTTTAATAGCACTCCTTGTTTTGAAAATTCGATAGGTCCATTTGGTTCTTAATTGCATTTCAAAATCAAAAAATCTTCCATTATATCCGAAAAAATGAGTAATTTTCGATGAATTCTTTTAGCCAAAAATAAACAAACAAAATAAACAAATCGAAAATAATTCTGAAACTGTTCGTTTCACAAAAAAATGACATGAATTACTTTTAAATACAATGGTCCTAAAAATTCAGTAACGGAATATTTTTCCTTGCTATCTTCCAGAAAATTTTACATTTTCCTACCAACGATTTTTTGAATTTTTGTCCTTCCTTGTATTTAAAATTGTAGTTACTAGAAGAAATTCTTATAAATTCGTTTTGTGAAACGCGCAGTTTTGGAGTTATACTCGATTTATTTTAACTAGAAAATAAAAAATAATACGAAAACAACGCGATTTTCAAATAGATTTGAAGAGATCCTTTTTCTTTGACATGATCAACAACCAAATATAGTAGCGTCGAAATTCTGAGGCTCTAGCAACTAGTAACAGCATATCTTAGTCCATCTTGTAAAGTAAATTTTAACATTCATCAAAAAATTTATTCGGCACATGTTCCGAAAACTAAGCCATTTGGGTCGAATATCCATAGGGACTCTCTCCTTAAAATACCGTAAATACAGATATTTCATAAATGTTTACAAGCCACGTGACCATCGAGCTTAGGCAACCAATATTGCAGGGCTGGTACAAATATTCCCTAAGTCTTGGCGTTATCAATATTAATGATTTGTTTACAATGAACAATGACAAACTGTTACTTCTACGCTCGAGATAATGCGATCGCTGATTGGCTGAATGGAAAAATTACACTAATCACAGTCGGTAGAACAAAATGTTATATTTTAATGTAATCTTGATCTTATTATTTTAATAATTTTTAATTTTACCGAAGTTTACCAATGTGAAGGAAATAAAACTACTGTTCCATACAAAATTACTGTACACGTGGTTTCTAATCGTTTATAAAGGCTCTATAGTTATCTCCTTTATTATTGGAATATATTTAAGGATCACCCTGTATTGCTCTATTCATATTTGTACATCATTCATATCGAAACGCAATACATAATTTTTTTAAATAAAAATAAAACACCAAGTACCTTCAATTTTTGTTGTAGATATACGGAAATGTATTAATTCGTCTTAATTCATTTTATTTATGTATTTCAAGTAGAATAGGTATTTACTGTTTTATTACTCTCTTTGACTAGGCTGTAGTTCGTATTCATGGAAGTTTTTTTTTTCTAGGTGTCGGCTGGTCAACATTTGCATCTCAGTGGTGACCTTAAAGGAAATGTCTCTATTGCAGCCCAGCAAGGCATGCATTTCAGCCAACACAATTCTCAAAATGGCACATCACAGACTCAAACTTCACAAAACAATAACCAGCATTCTCAGCACAGTCCCCTGTCAAATTCTCAGCATCAAAACTCGCCCATGCAAAATAATATGAATGCACAACATGGACAAAACACAATGAACCACCAAGCAGGTCCGCAGGTAGGAAACGCGATGGTGTCCGGAGGTCACACCATGCCAGGTTCTCAGCTTAGCAGCCAGCAAAGTCCTTTGGGGTCAAATATACCTGGGGGAATTCCGGGCTCAGCAGGTATGCCTGGTTCTGGTAGTTTAGGGGGAGCAAACAATATGGGAATACCCAATTCCGGTATGGGTCAGAATAATTTAGGAGGACCTAATGGCGCCATGGGAGGACCTGGGAGTAACATTGGTGGACCTGGAGGTATGCCAGGTAATCTGGGAGGTATGCAACATCCAGGCATGCATGTTGGAGGGTTAACACCAAACCATGGAGATTCTTACTCAATGTCACAAACCCAAACCATCAACTTTACACAGCAATCCCTTCGAAGAGCTGGAGGAGCTGGTGGTAAGTTTTCAAATTCAATGTAATGTAAGCGAAGGAAGAAAAAATTTACTAAAACTTCTTCAGAAATATGCCCATACTTGATTAAAAATGTAAATAATAAGAGAGCCAGAGCAGAATATATGGTTAAACCAAGGAATTTAGTCCAAAAGAAAACAGTGACCTATAGTAATTCAATCTGCCTGTTTTACACTAAACGTCTCGATTATCGAAACATAAATAATATACCTACTTATTTTTGTTTAAATTTTTATATTAATTAAAACTATATAGAACGAATGGCCAGTAATAATAAAATTTTTTAAACTTGTAGCATGCAACAAGTATTAGCCCCCCCTGGCTACTCCCATGTATGTATATCTGTATTAACAAAATGTAAAGATAGGATAAAATAAACTCATCATAGGCGTAGAAGTTACGCTTTATGAGTGAGTTGGCCTGTCCATATACAGGGTGTAAGGAGAATGACTGTCATAACTTCAACATGCGATAGAGTAATCATAAATGAACAAAAAAGTTGTATATTACAGGGGCGTAAGATTAACTGTTTTCTAAAAACAGGGAGTATTAATATCGGGGAGCTTCATCAAAACGTGACAATAGCGCTTAACCTAATGCTACAAACTTGTCCTACGGAATAACAAAAATGTAAACAACTATTATTGTGAAACATGAAAGACAATTTTCAGTTTTTAAATAAATAAAATAAAATGTATGGATTTTGTAGTATGAAGATAGTGTTGTGCTTAAATTTTAGGTCGAATTTTAGTAATTATGAATCTCTTAAAATAGGAACTTAACATTTAATCAAATTATGAATTTGAAAAATATCTAATTAAAGTACCCATAGATTCACATCGACCAAATAATCATGCGTATTAAAAATAATTTAGGGACTTACCAAAAAGCAAAAGTAATTTTTAAACGCACAAGTACAAAATGTCCACCACTATTTTCGACAGCTTCGAATCCAATTTTCGCGCACTTGCTGGAAAACATCTCAAGAAAAGGAAATAGTGGTACGCAAAAAACACTCTGACATGGTCCAATTCCAGATACCAACACCAACTAAATTGAGTATTGCTGGACAGCTTAGTACCGCCAGGCCGTTGTTACATTGATCTATATGAATTTTATAGAATTTTAAATTTATTACACTAATTATTTTTTAGAATTAAGCATAAAGAAATTCAAAAAAGTGATATAAACATTGTATTTTATGGTATTCTATGTACGTAGTTTTGTCAATATTCCTTAATTAATCAAACTTTTGTACATCAAGTTGGACATTTTGATAATTTTTCTCTCAGAAACAGTTGAGTTTAGGACCCATGTCATATAAGGTTTTTTTTGTTTATTTTAATGTATTCTATTGTCTGTTAAAATTAAGGCAGTCAAACTTCTAACATCCTGTATCTATGACACTGGTAAAAGAAATAAAGGATTACTATCGTGGTTTTGTAAAATGTTCAGTATTATTATTATATTAAATTTTGTGAAACTCTTTATTACACATTTTTTGAAACATCTAAAAATTTTTTTTTTCTGAAAATATTTGATGACCTATATCTCAGACAAATTTCCAGGTCAAGATTATATTAACTTTTTTGTCCATATTTACCTGAAATTTGTTCCTTTAAAGTTAATATGGTCACCCTGGATACATACATAAATTCCTTCTCAGGAATTTGTAATACACAAGTATTATCTTTTGTTTCTGAAGTAATTTTAATAATTTAAGAAAAACATTATTTATATTTATTAAGTACATACCATGCAAAACATTAATGAATATCATGTTGTTTACAATTTATAAATTTTTATGTACTTGTATGTGTAATGATAAAGTTTTTATCCGCGGTAATAAGGCAATCGTTAGATAATAAGACCAATAATTACGTTCATGTGAATCACATTTATGTTACTCAATAGATTTCCAATGACACTAGTTATTTTTTATAATCTTTATTAATAATTAATGGATTAGCAATTTTTGTTCATGTTTAAAAATATTCTATATAAATGTTTAATATAATACCTATAACTTATTATATCTATATAGTATACTACCTATATACTTATAATTTTTTTTTCACTGAATTTAGAATCAGTGGCGGATGTTGAAAATTAAAATTCCAGTTTTTTAGTAAATTTCTAGGCACACGTAGAGAATTCCCTTTTGTTTGATTTCATTAAAAAAATTAAGTAATCATTGTATCAATTACTTCATTCAGTTGAAGTGAACTAAAATGTCTTCATATCCACTGATCTGATAAACAGAAATTTACTCAATGTTCTTCCACAGGAGTACCAAATCCAATGGGACCAACTGTCCCCATGGGACCAGGCTCTATGGGTGGCCAAGCAAATATGGGACCACGTTTGATAAATGCCCAAACTATTGAGCAGCAGAAACTACTTCATCAACAAATGCTTCGGGTACAGCAACAAGCCGCAATGCAGCAACATATGGTCAGACCACCACCTCCTGACTATAAAACTAGCGCTGGAATGATGCAAGGTGTTCAACCGAGATATGGAAATGGCCCTCCCACTGTAAGAAGGATGCCACATCAACCCATGCCACCGTCTGGTAAGAAATTATAATTTACGAGATCAGAAAATAGTCCAAATAGTATATAGCACACTATTAGAAGCAAATTGTCTATTATATTACTCAGCCCAAAGAATTTTATTAGTATCGCTTTTAAAGTATAATGGGTTTTCGGGTTATTGTTATGCCGTGGCCTATATATATATATATACCTGGTCACTGCCAGTTACAGATTTACATTGCACCTCTATCCCTAACTAGGACGTGTCTTGGTTATTCTTGGTCTGAGGGGGCTGACCCACTATCAGAACTTCTAGGCCTGCCTTGATGATCAATTTGGTTCTTGTTGATGGTTTTAACTCGTTCGATGCCGATGCATTTCACCCTTATGCTACCTAGATCCTGAAGTCACATTTACGTAAAATTTTGAAACTAGTGTTCAGTAATTATTTAAAATTGAGTTTAAATTAACACACTTATAAGCGGATTCTAATAACATGCTGGTGCCACTGGGTGCTTAAAAGCAAATATTCTGTGTGGGGAATAGGATTAAAACTGAACCTAAAATATTTCGGAGTGTTGTAAATTTTTTTTTAATTTTTTTAGACGTATCACTCAATTTCATTTCTCAGGACAGCAGAGATATAATATATTCCAAGATGTTAACTTGATTACAATAAATATTAATTACTTATTTATTGAAAAAAAGATATGCTCTACTAAGAAACTGTTGTTTTTGTTGTTGTACTCTTACTAATGTGTGAATTTTTCCTAATGCGCAGAATGTGACAAGCATTTAACCAATCCTTAAAAATGGCGATCCATTTGACATAAGTGATTGTAGACCTATTTCTTTGAATAATCGTATTTTTCAACATTTTTCAGTATTTTTAAATATATCGTCAAGTCAACATGAATTTATAGAAAATATATCAATTACAACAAATTTTATATGTTTTACCTTTTTAAAGATAATAATCAGCACAGACAGACAGATAAATACCAACTTTTCGAAGGCTTTTAACTATCACAACATACTTCTACAATAATTTTAAATATACAGTTTATTGGGTAATTAGCTAAAACTTTCTAGTTCATTTACAATATATCACTATAATATCAGATTTCAGTTTGGTCAGTATCTATGTACTCCTGGGACACTACAGGTCTGTAATCTGGACTTTCTTCTCTTTTCCATTTTTGTTAACGACGTTACCACCTTAATTGTCACAAATTAATCTTATGATCATTAAAAATATGTGTAAAATGAAGCCCTCTTTTTAGCAACAAAGTCAACCTAGACATCTTGAAACATACAGATTATCTGGGGGTTTACTTTTATTATAATATTCTGCTTTCATTATTTTATGCATACATCCATCCTAAGCTAGAATATTGCTCTCCAGTTTGGGTTATCATGTGCAATATATGACTTTGATAGATTCTCCGTAAAAGGGTTATTAAAATTCCTTTCGTTCTACTCTAATGTCATATTTCCTTCCTGTATGACTATAGATTTTTGATAAGTTTTAATTTTCATTCATTAGAGTTCAGAAGGCATTTCCATAGCTTAAATTTTTTTAATTTTTATATTATATGTTTTGACATTGTAGTTAAAATTGTAAACTTTGTCCTATAATTGGTGTTTCACTGTTGGATAAATAAAATAAATAATTAAATCAGATCAACATCTTTCTTCTTTTTAGGTCCAATGATTCGTTCAAATATGTATATGATTCAACAACAACAGCAGCAGCAGCAGCAACAACAGCAGCAGCAACAGCAGCATCAACAGCAGATACCACAGAGGGCAGCTATGTATTCCAGACAGCAGGGACCAATGGGCGGAATAGAATCTGTCCAGCACAATGCTTCTGAATGGAGGCATTTACTCATGACTCAACAGCAAAACGCTAATTTCAGTCCTATGAGACCTAACTTCCAGCAAGGTACGATTATTTAAATACAGTGTGCAAAATGAATGAAAAGTAGGGGGTCAAGCATCGGCTAATACAATGCGTGCAAGTTGTTACAGTATGTCGTGACTTGTGAGTGGTGTTTTGCAGATTAAAGCGGGGATCTGTCAGTGAGAAATAAAAATGCAGAAAAATAAAAATATATAAAGTACAATATGTATCTAGTACAAAAAATCCTTCCTTGAAAAATACTAAAAATCTGGTACAAAAGTTTCTTGCAAATATAATCATTGTCATCATCGTTCTCTTTCGAAGATGTTACCTCACTATCATATAATCTCAAATTCTTCTGTTTAGTTCCCAATATTTATCTTTGATACTAATAATATGATTTAGGTATATAAGATTTTCTGCTAGTCGGTTTTACCAGTTTTATTGCCTGCCTTGTCAGTTATTAAATTAGTGACTGATAATAATTGAGTGATGTTATGGCTTTGTATATTAATTGACGTCTAAGCCAACTCAATTAGGGTTCAAGTCACACAAGGGGACTGGAATATATCCATGGAGGTGAAGAATTTCATGTACCTAACTAAGGTTATTTTGTTCAAATTAGGACATAACTACAGAAATGGCGGGTATATTGAGAAGTAGTTAGTTGACTAGCATTTTTTTAAAAGGCCAGAAAAAAAAATTGTTCTACCCCTTTCATAAAAATACAGTCCGAACCAACCTACACGATTAATATTGGACTACGCAAAGAAAATCTTGAACAAAGACAATGACATTTTCTGCTAGTATTTCTGTACCATCATGTTACCAAGTTTCATTTAGATACACAATAAAGTGTCTTTCTTTTTGATATTTTTTAATAGCTGTTAGACATTTTAATCACGAATGTACAACGTTAGGCTTTCCGATTAGAATTTTTCTTTTACTTTAACATTTACCACACAAATCCTCGTAAGCGTAATAGTTTATGTAATGTTCTTGGCTCACAAGCACAATCAGAATTTTGTTTTATGACAGCAAATAGCTTTCTGCAGGTTGGAACTTGCTTTGAATTTACATGAGTCTTTTAATGTCCTTATTATTATTTGAAAATCAGAGTCGTTTTCTTCTCGAATGATAATCATGGTTTTTTTTGTGTTAGTAAAGTTGTTCCGCTTTTGTGTTCTTCCCATATTTTCTTTTATAGTGCTTTTGGAAATGTTGCACTTTATGCGTTTGTAAAACATAGTCCTTTGTAGGATATTTTTTTTTAACCTCCGATAAGTTCATAAATAATTTCTAGACGCAGTACAAAAATGAGCTTAGATAGTGACGTTCATAGTACTTTCGTTATCTCTCCCTCTAGTGGCAGAGGTGTTCATATCAGTGTAAGCCATGTACCAAGCATGTAAAATGTAGGATATTATTAACTCGTCCGCCAAATGTAGAGTGTATGACGTCATTTGGTTTTTATAGTCCGAAAGGCATAATAAAGCAGAAGTTTAAGAAACCGGTCCTGTTTAAACTACCTAGTTCATGAGGGAGGGCGTGGTGTACGATGTTTATAATGAGGTGGGTAAGGTTGTTCACGATTTCTGAATTCATCACTGATTTTCCTCCGATTTGAAGATTTTCTCATACAGTCATTATAGAAAACCTTGTATACAGTAAAATTTATGCATGGTGCAATAACTTAAAGATGTAATCAATAAACCTTGACGACACATCTCAGTTTTACTCTTATTATTGAATTAGTAAATATATTTACTTTGTGGGTGAAAGCCATATTAAGCCTGAATTGTAACTGATCATTATTATGATCGCCTGGTTTTCTTTCATTTCATGGACATTACTTTGAACATGTACATTTTTAAATAATATTCTTACAGGATTCAACATGAACTCAGGCAATATGCAGCAGATGTCTGCTTTACAACACCAGCAAATACGAACACAGCAAGGTATGGTTTCTGGTGGCATGACCGGCGGTCAACAAGCCCTAAACCAAGGAATGGGCCAGGGGCAGGTTATGACCCAAGGCAACAGTCCCATGGCACAAATGAACAACATGAATCATGCTGTGTTACATATGCAACAGCAGCAGCAACAGAGTTTACTACAACAGAATTCGCAGGTATGTGTAACACTATGTTAGTACTAATTTGTGTAAGTCGGACTGTATCTACAGCATTTTCGACTCGTTGCACTTTCATGCATTTGGCTTCATTTAGTGTCAGAAAATATGTTCGTCTGGTGGTACGTTTCCAATTCGTGGTGTTTGACTAGACAAAAAAAAAATACTAACGCAAACTTTGCACTGCTGGTGCTTTTCGACACCGACTGATAAGTTCAGTAACGATCACTAAAAATAAAGTAAATAAGTCTTGAATAATTTATATGCTATTGATCGCTAGTGTTT